ACAGGGGGCTCCCTGGGTGAGAACACGCCGTTATCCCCCTTCTGCTGGGTGGGTGCACCCCGTCGGCTGCTCTGCACACCCGCCTGACACTGGGTCACTTTGCGCCAGTCCGGCAAGCCCAGGGAGCTCCGTGTCGCCTGGACAGACGCAGAGACGGGAGTTTTGCCAGCCATGGGGAGGTGGAGGCAGCTGGTTCGTACCTTGGCCTGCGGGCTCTGCACCCCGCTGGGACAGCATCCTCCCACAGCAGAGGAGCCAGTCGCATTTTGCCAGAGGGTTACAGAGAATCGGGTTAGCGTGCGCCAGCGGATGGGAGTGCGATGGTCTTTGGGTCGAGGGCGACAGGGCTGCTCGGTGCATTGAGCTCAGCGGGTCCTGCCCTGCCTTTCACGTGTGGTGCCCTGTGCCTGCTCCCACGGCATCTCCTCTGCAGGGTTCGACTGCACCGGTGCCCTGGGGACCATGCCCAACAGGACCAAGCAGAGCCCCCCAGGCACGCTGGTTTTGGCAGCATTTCCTAGTGCCCGTGATGGTCCCCCAAGCTTCCCAGAGATGCCCGGGAGAGGCGGTGGAGCACGGCTCATTGCAACGTTGATGGCATCGACCGCCAGCGCCCCCGGGACTCCTCCATGCCAGGAGTCAGGGCAAGGCTGACCCGTGCCAGGAGAGCACAGAGCACGTTTGAGACCAGGGGGCTCAATGCCTGGCCCGTGGGCCAGATCCAGCCTAGGGAGCCATGTCAGCCACCCTGCCAGGCTCCCCCGGGTCCAAAACGTTGTGTTGGGCAGTGTTCATTGACCCCCTTCTGCCGCCAAATATCCAGACTCCCGGGGAGCACCATGGGCCGGATAGTGTTGCCCCTCACACTGGACTGGGGGCAGGGCAGGGCCCAATCCTGGCACGTGAGGTCCAGCCGAGGTGGCACGGGACCTGATCCTGGCAGGTGGGGCCCAATCCAGCCCTGCAGCTGGCCCTGCGCTGCCGGCGCGGGTTGCACCAGGTGTCCGTTGCAGCCCGAGTCGCCCGGCCGAGGGTTGAGGCGGTTTTGCCGTCAGGGCGGATGATGGATCAGAGTCGGGAGAGCCAAGCGCAGCGGGGCAGGCGTAGCGGTGAGGCTGCGAGCAGGGCTGTGGAGAGGCAGAGGTCGGGAAGCACACACAGGCGTGTTGTGGCCAAGTCCCATGAGAAGTAGCAGGAGTAAAGCTAGCGGGCACCGTCCCCGCGTCGGGGGGAAGAGTCCCTTTTCCCTCGGTGC